CTGTTAGTAGCCCCGTTCTGGCCGGGCCGAGTATGGTTCTCGGACCTGGTGTCTCTCCTCAACGGCTCTCAATGGGAGATTCCCGTCAGGAGGGATCTCCTCTCACAGGCGGAGGGCACGATATTCCACCCCTGCCCGGAGCTGTGGAAGTTATGGGTGTGGCCCCTGAGGGGGCACAACTCATAGCTTCCGGTCTCTCAAATGAGTTTGTTGAGACCATCCTCCAATCCAGAGCTCCCTCAATGAGGAAACTGTATGCCCTAAAGTGGAAGCTTTTCACTTCCTGGTGCGGAGATCGCCAGCTTGACCCAGTTAACTGCCCAGCAGTGTTAATTTTGACAGCAAATTTAGATTTAGTTATAGTCATAGTCTTTTGACTAAAATGCCATTTAGTTTTAGTCACATTTTAGTCATCTGAATTGTTTTTAGTTTTAGTCTAATTTTAGTTGACTAAATATCATATGATTTTAGTCCACTGCCCACAGCTGCAATGGATGCAATGTACGGATACATGTTCTCCCTACTTTTTACGTTCACTTAAGACAAAATCAACTGTGTTTATGCGAATACTCATCAAAACGGACAATTCGACATCATTTTGTGTGTAATTCTCCGTTCATGCGACGCGATAGAGTATGCCTACTTGTGTTCTGTGAGACGCGCTTTCTCTGTGTGTGTATGCTTCGGTGTCTGAGCTCAGAAAACTGGACCGAACTGAGTTCTCTCTTGCGTCATTAGATTTATCTATATGTCTGCTCTTCTCTTACTCCCACATATTGACATTTTTGAACGTTTTATGAGACATGCAGCAAGTGTATTTTAGCTTATGTCCGGCCGGTTCATATGTATGCATCTAACCTCCTAACTACGCAGCAGATTCGTTTTGAATGAATCTCTTCCCAAATCGTCCCTCCCTAACATTTTCGTCTCGTTTTTATTCGTTGACAAAAATGTCAATAAATATTCGTCATCGTTTTTGTCATTCAAAAAGAGTTTTAGTTCGTTATCGTCTCGTTGTTGTCGGTGAAAAAAATGTCATTGACGAAAATTATGACGAAAATTATTCGTCAACGAAATTAACACTGCTGCCCAGTTGGTACAGTGCTGGAGTTCCTGCAGGCCGATTTCTCCACAGGGTTGACCCACTCCACTTTGAAGGTCTACGTGGCGGCCATTGAGGCCTACCACGCCCCTCTCGGTGGCCAGTCAGTGGGAAGACGCCTCCTAGTTACCCGTTTCCTCCACGGTGCGCTGAGGCTGAGGCCTCCGGCCAGAGAAGCTTATGCTAAGCGGTGGATCAGGAGGCCATTTCATAGCCTCGAGTCCTCTGATCTCCCCTCTCCTTTGGGGGTCAAGGCTCACTCCTTCTGAAGTTGGCCTTTGGGCGGGATGTACCCGCCTACCTTGTCAGGTGCCTACCTGCACTCTGCGCCACTCCTGGCTCCTTTCTCTCGCTTTAGCTGTGCTCTTCCACACTAGGCAGGGATTTGTAAGTCTGGCGGCGTGGGCATACTCGTTCCCACAGTGTTTTTCGACGCAGCTTGAGTTCCTGAAGGGGAACGTCTCCAGGTTACGCATGTAACCCTGGTTCCCCGAGGGAACGAGATGCTGCGTCTCAGTGCCATACTTCCGGCATCCCTGCGAGCGTTTGCTTCATTCCTCGAAGCTGACGCCGGTTCCACCGCACATGCTTTTAAGCGTCCTGGTCACTACGTCACCCCGCCCGTGACGTCTCACCCATCCATTGGACTGATTACACACGTGATTCAGAGCATGGTTACGCTGAAGGCATTCCCATAGTGTTACGATGCAGCATCTCATTCCCAGTCCTCTGATCTCCCCTCTCCTTTGGGGGTCAAGGCTCACTCCTTCTGAAGTTGGCCTTTGGGCGGGATGTACCCGCCTACCTTGTCAGGTGCCTACCTGCACTCTGCGCCACTCCTGGCTCCTTTCTCTCGCTTTAGCTGTGCTCTTCCACACTAGGCAGGGATTTGTAAGTCTGGCGGCGTGGGCATACTCGTTCCCACAGTGTTTTTCGACGCAGCTTGAGTTCCTGAAGGGGAACGTCTCCAGGTTACGCATGTAACCCTGGTTCCCCGAGGGAACGAGATGCTGCGTCTCAGTGCCATACTTCCGGCATCCCTGCGAGCGTTTGCTTCATTCCTCGAAGCTGACGCCGGTTCCACCGCACATGCTTTTAAGCGTCCTGGTCACTACGTCACCCCGCCCGTGACGTCTCGTCCATCCTTTGGACTGATTTCACACGTGATTCAGAGCGTGGTCACGCTGAAGGCGTTCCCACAGCGTTTTTCGACGCAGCGTCTCGTTCCCTCTGGGAACCAGGGTTACATGCGTAACCTGGAGATGTTTTCCTATATTGTGAAACTTTTAGTTTTAAAAATGAGGACAATCTTTGAAGGATGAACAAAAAGCGATTTTTGACACATTAAAAATTACATTTAAATTACTATTCAGATTTATATACAATGACATATTTGAATGAACACAGGTGAACAGAATGACATAATCAGGACAATGAAGGAAAACTAGGTCAAAGGAACAAAACAAGGCGGTAGACAAGAAACAGGGAAAAACACAACTAAAAAGTCCATAACCGTAATACTTACAGTGGTCTGTAAGAGTCTAATTTGCTGTGTTATGATCAAAGTTATTCATCTTTGCACGTTCCACACACACACACACACACTTGTTGTCCAGTCGAACAGAGCTCGCATTGCCTTGGCTCTTAGTGAATTGACGCTACTGAGTGCAGGCCTTCATATGATGACATACTCAGCATCAAATTCTAAGCTATTTGGCTGGTTAGACTGGTTTACGAATTTACATGGTCTTTGCAAACAGGAAAGTCCAACATAAGACTATTTAGTACCAAATTACCAATAAATTCCAGTGTGCATTTTGCAGCCTTTTTTAAAAACATGTCACAATATACAGTATATTAGAATATTTTAGGATAAATATCAACATTTGAATTATATGAAAACAGATTATGTTACATGAAAAGTGTGGAAATCTTTTTTTTTTATTTAAAGGGGTCATATGATGCTGCTAAAAAGAACATTATTTTGTGTATTTGGTGTAATGAAATGTGTTTATGCGGTTTAAAGTTAAAAAAACACATTATTTTCCACATACTGTACATTATTGTTTCTCCTCTATGCCCCCCTTTTTGAAACGCGTTGATAACTCACACAAAAATGCAAATATTTAAAATAATACTAAATTAAATAATAATAAAAGAACAATAAGGTGTTTGAACAAATAGGGAAATTCTGAAATGTTTAACATGCACGTAGCTTAATGTACTAAGACAGTGATATTAAAACATCAAACACCTTATTGATGAATTTGCTTGTCTGTATATAGTATGCATCATCAGTAATGTGTATTCTGAATTTCTATAGTTTGAATAATCAATAATGTGTATTCTGAATCCTGTGATATCCGTGTCTGTGTTTTTCACATTTAGCAGTTTGTCCCAAATAAATACTTTTGTTTTCTATCTTGCAAATTATCTCTTTACGGTAAGAGAAACCTCTGCAAACGATTGATTCAGTAAACTGTCCAAATGAATCAAACTGAATCGCAAACTATTTCAGACCTTTCTGCAATAGTGATTCAATTTGCGATTCATTTGTTTTGATTCTAAACAGCCGACAGAAAACATACATGACACGATTGCCTTTAAATATTATCAGTAAAAATGACTTTCATATCAGTATATGGTTAAGAGTTCAATAATGTTAATAATAATAATATCACAGCTGTAAAAAAGACTCTAACCACTCAGACAAACAGTTCAATATTCTGAAAAACTAATATATTGATCAGACAGGTATTGTAAATTATATAACATTTTATAACTCTCTTTAATGTTTTATTTATGTTGATCCTTTATTACCTTCCATGCTGTTCTAAGTATGCATAGTTGCAGAAGTCTTTATTTCAAGTCATACACTGCAATTATACACACTTATGTTGAATTATGTTTCCTTTTCTCTTGAGGTTGTTTGAAAATCCCTCCTGTTAATCCTGAAGAGAAATGTAGAAACGCTACATATGAAAATGATACATGCAGCGGTAAGGCTTAAGATTTATAAGATTTATAAAAAAAAGTTCACACCCAGCAAAGTTTGATTTCAGAATCAAAATAAATATAGAACAACGTTAACTGACTTATTTCTAGCATAGCTGTAGGCCTAATATTTGGGTTTCTTGAGTCTTTTAAACAGAATGCACTTGCTTGAGAAATTCTTTAATTCGTTTAGTGTTTGGAGTAGCATGATAAAATCATGGCAATAATATAACTGGACTATGTTAATAATAAATATGTAATAACTGATGAACATGTATAAATGTTTCTTGGTTTATAAATAACCAACATATATTAGAGCATTTTAACCTACAAGATTGTTTGAGTCGTTGCGCAACTGGAATAAAATGCATCCATTGTTTATTTGTGTTGAAGGGAAAGAAGAAAGCAGATACATTCTGCATTTAAATGGGAGTGAATGGATGTGTGTGACCTGCGTTGATGAAAGATTAACCACCATTACACCACTGTCACACACCACTTCAACATCACATACTACAACTCACAATCCAACTACTAGTTCAACATCACATACAACAACTCACGAGCCAACTACTAGTTCAACATACATTTGACAACTCACAATCCAACTACTAGTTCAACATCACATATGACAACTCAAAATCCAACTACCAGTTTCATGCCAAATATGACAACTCCCAAGCCAACTCTCCCACCAGCTGAGATGACTTTCAATCTACAAGCTGAGCAAAACAACACAGATAAAATGGATCCCCAAAAGGCAGCGTAAGTGTGCGGTTACCAGCAGATTTCAAATCTAAAATTTAGTTACAAAATACCAAGTGATCCAATGCATTTTACAGAGAAAACTTGGACAAAGTGGAGTCGCTGGTGGAGCAGATGGAAAAAAGCAATAAAACCAATGCAGCGATTGTCATGGGGGATGTAATTGGCGTTCTTCAAAGACAACCCAAGAACACAGCAACCAAAGACATCAACATATGCTACTCTTCAAGTCAGAATATGATAAACGTAAGGCCTGAGAAGCATTAAAACGTGTCCCTCTGGGGAAGAATTAACATTTATCAATGCAATTTCTTCTTTTTGCAGGTTGTTGAGAGCAACCAGGCTGGTTTTCCCTGGTCTGTAAAGATTCCCAGTGAGGCCTTTGATAAATCACGACAGGAAAACAATGGAATTGCATTTGTTGGAATTCTACGTTTCAAAAACATGGGAAATAAGGTCTGTGCCAATGTTTCACTTTCACTTTGAACTGTTGGAGCTGATTCATCAAAAATGTTTGCATTTGGACAAATGTTTCTTGATTGTTTGTATTTGATTGCTCTATTCTGGTATGGTTTCTGATTTAGGAGGAAAGTAAAACTCACACTGTTTTGAACAGTGAGAGTTATGGAATAACAATGGGGGCCAATATTTCCAATCTCTTCGACAATATTGACATGATCATTAAAAAGAAAGAGAATCTGGTAATGAAGGTTTCGTTGCAAAACTTATATTATATTACACAGTTAAAGCAAAATCAATATAAACATGTTTTTTACAGACCGGTAATGTGTCCTGCGTTTCTTGGAATGGCAAAGGTAAATTAATTTATGTTCCTATCAGCAAACCCAGTTTATTTTCTATAATTAATTTGTATAATGAATTTCAGTTGTTGCTCTCTTTTCATTGAAGGAGAACTTAAATGGAAGACGTTCGGCTGTGAGACAGAAATCGACAACACCACCATAAAGTGCTTCTGCTCACATCTGACGTTCTTTGCAGTGCTGATGGTGAGAAGCTTCTCAGAGAAGAATAACGTCTCGGTTACGTATGTAACCCTCGTTCCCTGAAGGAGGGAACGGAGACGTCACGTCGGTGATGACCAACGAATTGGGATCGCACCAGAGAGACCAATCCACTTCGAGTGTAACTAAACAAGCCAATTGACATTGGCATGTGGATTTCACATCTGGCTGCCACTCCCCGCAGTGCGAGTATAAAAGGCAGCAGGTGCACCGCATTAATTCTTGTTTTCGCTGAGGAGCCAAGCCGGAGTCCCGGCCGCTCAGTCGTGGTACAGCAACTGTGGCAACAGGACGTGATGTCTCCATTCCCTCCTTCAGGGAACGAGGGTTACATACGTAACCAAGACGTTCCCTTTCAGTCGGTCACTCTCGACATCGGGATCCCTACCAACACGCCACAGGTGCTGCCCCCTCCAGTGCCCTATGTAGGCCTCCTGATCCTTCCTATAAGGCAGATGACAGGACCGGGCTCTACACAGAGAAGGTAGACTACAGCTGTTCCTCGCAACCCAACAGTAGGACTTGGATAACACTGGGAAAGCGTGCCCTATCCATTTGGAAAGGGCATGCTGCGGAGTCACCTCCTCCCAGAGGGGGTTAAGTGACATTTACTCAGGTGGAATAACCCCGTAGGGCCCTACTGCACATGCAAGTCTCTGAGGTGGCTCAGACTGCATCATTTAGAGACGGCAGAACATGATCTGCAAGGGGAAACACGGCCCTAGTAACTGTTACGTGGACATACACATATGGGATCCCAACAGGGTCACTCATTTGGGCACTAGCCTCACACCAGATTTCAAGAATTCATTGGCTGAAAGGCCTGGCGCCAGACGCTCCACCACGTCTGGCCGCCGGAGTGCTGGAGGACTCGACAGGGTTTGCCCGGTCAGGGAACTCTCTGGAGAATTAGGCGCTAAGGACACCGCAAGCTGACTCTGAACCGGGCCTCTCAGTGCCACTACCCGTTTGAGGTGAAAACACAGGAGGAAACCGGTTCGACACGTAGGTTAAAGAACCTAGCAAACGTGTTAGGAGTCGCCCAGCCCGCAACTCTATAAATGTCTGCTAGCGAGGCACCACAAGCCAGCGCCCAGGACAATGCGACACCCCTAGTGGAGTGAGCACGCAGCCTGAGCAGGCAGGGCACACCTTGTGCTTCATAGGCCAAGGTGATGGCATCCACTATCCAGTGGGCCATCCTCTGCTTGGAGACAGCCTTTCTGCTGTCCTCCGTAACAGACAAAGACCTGTTCTGAGGTCCTAAAGCTCTGAGTTCTATCCACAAACTGTCGCAGTGTGCGTACAGGACAGAGCAAAGCTAGGGCTGGGTAAGGGGGCGGTTTGTCCCTACAAGAAGAACATGCACCATCCACGAACGCTTCCTCAGCGTGCTCAATGCCCAGACACGTGAGGCAGCGATCGTGACCGTCCTGAGGTGCCAGGAAACGACCACATCCAGAAACGCACGGGTGATAAGACAACTTTAAAAAGACGCGATCACCCGTGTTGCTCTTTTAGAGATTGCTCAAATAGTGCTGAAGCACGCAGGGGAGCTGGTCACCGCACACTCCAAGTGTGGCTGTCTGCACGAAAGATGATCTTTTTTTTCCCGTGAGACCGCGACCACCGCTGCAATGCCCGCACTCGTCTCTTGCAATCACTCGAAGAGGAGAGCAGTAGTGATGCACCACCGCTCGGCTCCGAAGCGAAAAGATGAATTAATGCAGTGCACCTGCTGCCTTTTATACTCGCGCTGCGGGGTGTGGCAGCCAGATGCGAAATCCGCATGCCAATGTCCACTGGCTCGTATAGTTACACTCAAAGTGTATTGGTCTCTCTGGCGAGATCCCAGTTCGTCGGTCATCACCGACGTGACGACGAGAGTGACCGACTGAAAGGGAACTTATGCTTTCATAATTTATGTTTCATTTAAAGATCCCATGAAGATCCCATAAGTCTTTCAGTCCACGTCTACATGCTAGTGAACTCAAAAGATCCTTGGTCAGGACTCCCATAATTTTTAATCTGAGAGAGTTTTTTCCTGGATACATCTAAAAAAATAAAGCCTCTTTCTAATGGGAAAACAAAAAGTCTAGTTCAAAAATATTTCTAGAAAGAGAGCATTCCTCCCACAATACTGCATCTGACTAGTGATAGCAAAGCAATGATGTCAATAAGTCTGTTTCACACGTTCAAGAGCCCTCAAAAAAAAAAGAATTAAGCATCAAGCACCTAATAAAAATAATTTAAATACAGTAGCTACATTTACATGCACCCAAAAATGCGTTAGTAATTGGATTGACGACTTAATTAATTAGGATTGAAAATCCTTCAAACACCTCAATCATCTGACTGAACACGATCTGAATGCACTGCGCATTGTGCTGAAGATTTATTTGAAATATATGTGATCCAAACAAAAATGTGAATTGTATTCCAAAGTTAACGGTTCATATAAGCAGAACGTTCAGAATCTGAATTCAGACCGGATTCGATTGGACTGATGAAAATTTGTGCATGTATACACACATTTGCATAAGTCAGTCAATGCATCCAAAAGGTGTAGTTAGTTACCAGCTCTCACTTATGCTAACTAAAGCCATAAAATGAATGTGGAGCAGCTCAAATTAGTATACTTGCTGAGAAATATTTGAGTTCATATTGAGACTTTTGAAATCTGATTTTTAATTGCAGACTTTGGTGATTAAGACATTGTTGAGAGCTCCATTTGCTCTGCATTTAATCTCATTGCTATCTAGGAGAAACAGTTTAGACGGTCGAGACAGTCCTCAATCCTTTTGAAGTATAACATGATGACATTGTGGAAATGACAGCAAAAAATCATCCATCTGATCTGTGCATTTTTGTATCTTTTCTCCAATAATTCAGTCTCTGCCAAAAGCAAATGACACAGTGCCACATCTGGAATCATTGACCTTAATTTCTTCTGTCGGCTGCGGCATCTCCATGTTTTTTATGGCCATCGCTTTATTCATGCATTTCCTGCTACGGTAGAGTATCTTAAAGTTTATCATTCAGTTAGTGCTGTTTAGTATTTAATAATCATTATTGCTACACTAACAAACAATTTTCACTTAGAAATTGCTGGTACATTTACAAAGAAAGAAACAGCAACACATTGAATTAAACTTGAATTTTTGAAGACTGAAATAGTATTTTCATGTAAAACATTATCCAAGTGATGAGATCAAACCTCTAATGTATTAAAGTTCAGGTTACAAAAGCAGTTTTTTGTATGTTTTAATAGGAAAGCCAAATCAAATCAGGCCACGAAGATCTTGATGAACATGTTTGTGGCTTTGTGTCTACTGAATATCTTCTTTTTGTCAAACGAGAGCGTCGCTAACACAGAAGACAACACTGCGTGCGGCTTCATAGCCCTGGTCCTGCATTACTCCATGCTGGCCTCATTCACCTGGTTCTTCATTCAAGCTCTTCATATGTACTTATGGCTCATCAGACAGAACGTCACCATCACAAACTACATGAGGAAGATCACCGTGTTGGGCTGGGGTGAGTTAGAGCAACAAAACATCTATTAAGAAAATAAAATCGTTGTGAGGTCTAGGTATAGACGTTTGTCTTGAGTGTTTAAAATAGGAGTTTAAGCTGGATTTAGTATGGAAATCATATTGTTTATGTTGTTATATATGTTAAATACTGTCATTTGGACACTTTCATTGTGAACAGACTGGCTGTGTTTACAAAAGGTTATTAATTTGACATTATATCTTTACTTTGGGCATTCGAAAACAAAGCTTGCATCTTTACAACTGTTATCAAGTGTATCTGAAAAAACAGTTGTAGTTAAAGTACAACTATAAATATTGTGTTTTTGTCTTTTTTTTTCTACTAAATAAATTAATCTCTGTGTGCTTTCAGTGTGTCCCGCTACGATAGTCGTAGTTATCGTTTCTGTAGGAGGATATGAAGCAGTGACCCTAAACACGACGTCTGGAAAAATCACACGAATGTAAGTTGCTTTGATGTCACATATTCATAAATTTATTGATGTTAACTGATTGTCTTCTTAATTTTATTCTCTTCTAATTACAGGTGCTGGATTACAAATTCTTACATTCATTATATGAACATCGGCTACTACGCTTTAGTTTTCATCTTCACGACAGGAATCTTCATCATCGTCACTAAGGTTGTTCAGGCCAGACGCATAAGAGCAACTGATGGCAAGAGAAAGACGTTCAGAAAGCAGCTGATGATGGTGTTGAGTTTGTTCCTGCTCTTCGGTCTGACGTGGTCTGTGGCGTTCTTCAGTTATGGACCAATGCTCATTCCCTCATATTACATATTCACTGTACTGAACTCATTACAGGGTGAGAAACAATCACATGCATTATTACATTTAGTTTATTAGAACACTTCTATTTTTTCCTGCAGATTTCAGCTAATAATTAGAGCTAAGGATGTTTTAAATAGTTTATTATTTTATTATTTTAAATGTTTAATTATAAATTTTTTAAAATACATTTAATGTAATATTTTTTATTTATTTAATTATTGTATTTAATTAAAAGGGGTTATAATGGGAGTTACACTAATATGATGAATTTGACAAGAAGTCTGATTATTTTTGGTCACTGACTAAAAATTATGCAAATGACTATAATCATATCTGAAATGTATTTGCATTAGTTGAAATAAGTTTTTGTGTTCTTCTTTCAGGGTTTTTCCTCTTCCTGTATTACTACCACATTCACAATGATGTTGCGGGTAGCTTCTCTGATGATCCAGAAAGCACTGACTCCACCACAACCATCACTCAATCCAGCATTAATGCTGTAGAAAATATTTATAACTAGCATAATTAAGACAGAAGGCTTTCTTTGTCTCAGACTTTCTTAGACTGATTTTTAAACTGATTTGTACAGCCGTTGTTTAAGGGGAAACTGTGTATTCTCACCTAAATCAAGCTCAAAAACAACACAAATACAAATGTCACTACTGAAAGAGAAAGAAATGTTTAAAACAATGCATGCGCCTAAAATTATGGCCCTAAATAGGGTCAATTTTTATTGAAAAAACTCACAACAAATGACAGAAAAATTCTTACTGAAACTTCTGTTATTGTAGAAGGATTGAATATGATATGACCTGATATTAGTTATGTTCGATTTATTGAGCGTTATAATCATCCTTGTAGCATTTAGACCAATAAGACACACCATTTTTCATTAGATTTAACAAATCAATTATTCATTAGATTAACAAATAGTCACAGACCCCTCACCCAATAAACATACTGGCTGCCAGGATGCCTGTGAACGACACCAGGCCCCTGGTTACCATGGCAACCAGGACAATTCAGCCAGATTAAATAAACTTTACGACCTAAAAGTATGTAGAGAGAATCTTCCCCCCCTACTCAATTCTTTCTAAAAACAGACACATACTGCTATAGGAAATGACTTCTTTCATTAATTCATAGAGAAATTTTTCTATGACCTTCCTATCATGCATATCCCCAGGTCAATGTGCATGTTGTTATATATATATTGTCCTTTGTATTGTATACTGTTTTATGCATGCTTATGATAGAACCACTCGTTCATGTAATCTTACCTATATGTAGTCTTACCATGTTTAGTATCTACGAATTCGTCTTCTGATGATCTAAACGAGAGTGTGTGTTATATGTTGGTACATAGGCAATATATTAGTGTTCTAAGAATCTTTAGTAATTTTGCATCAACACCCAATCGAGTTCCATATGCAAATTACCATGCTCTCAGACAAAGGGTCATAAAACTCCCCAGTATTTCCAACCTCCCGCTTGGAATTTCAGCCTTTCTCATTGGACAAGCCCATCCTGAGAGGCGTGAATCTTCTCAGACCTTAAAGGGCTCACGCACAGTTCTGCTATGTCTTCTGCTAAATCTTCTGATTGCTGCCCGTGTGGAGAGTCTGAGCTGGTGGGGACGTGCCCGGTGGGCTCCAACACATAGCCTTTCAGTCGGCAGTTCTGTTAGATTCTGAGAAGATGAGGATGTGAGCTAGAACGCTTCTGCAACCCTTAAGTCTGCACCAGGCTTCGACCTTGTCTTTACATTCACCAACGATCCTTGTATCTCAGCTGACGTCTCTTTTAGCTCTTCATCATCTTCATCTGGGAGAAAACTCTCCCGACCACCACAGAGTCAGAATAACATCTTTTTGGAGTTCATCACTCTTCAAACCTGGAAGAAGGTGATCGCGACTCCCACACCACCGAACCTCCAAACCATCAAGACTTTCATCCGAGACTGCATCCGGACGCTCGTTCCAGGCCAAGGCAATATGAAGAGTATCTATCATCCATCAGTTTTAATTTTGACTGCCAACTCTTTAAAATACATCAAAACAGCACGGAAACAGTATTCAGTTGAAGAAAAGATGAAAGTTATTCTCAGTACAATCATCCCCATTTACATCATAAAGTTTTAAAAAATAGATTTAAAATCATGTGTAGGCAAGGCAAGGCAAGGCAAGTTTATTTGTATAGCACATTTCATACACAATGGTAATTCAAAGTGCTTTACATAAAAGAAAAGAAAAAAAATTATCACAACAATAAAACAAGGAATTTAAAAACATTTTTTGTTAGACTAGTTTGTGTTAGTGTTTAGTTAATAACACTTGTGCACAAATTACATGAGTTTCTGATTCTGCCTTGCAAATTAATGTCCCTTTATTGTTTTGATCCTTGCTACATGCTCTAATGCATTAATACTGTATGAAAGTATTTTCAGTGCCCACGAAAATATCCTTTCCTAGAGTTGATATGAACACACTGAATGTTCGCTGGACGAACAAATTAGTTGAGGGCAATTTATTTCTGCTACAGTTACTACTGGCAGCTGATATAAATAATTGTAATTAATCATAATTGTAATTATTTATATACATTTCCCTTTTGAGCTAATTTGCTACATCCTTCTGTCCACTATGTGTGATCAAGTGTGTGTCAGAGCAACTCAAACAACACTGAACATCTTTTACGAAACAAATTCACATCTTCAGAAGACTTTCAGTGGATCTAAAATTATTTATTCACTTCAGTCAAACTTGTAAATGTGTCAATACCTTTTATTAGATGAGAAAATAAAGCAAGTGCCGTTTATTGTAAATAAATATTGTATTTCATTGTTTCTATGAAAAATTTTCAAACTTGGCATTTTCTGTATGGGAATCTGACTGTAAATATTGCTGATTAATGTAAATAGTCTAATTGCCTCTAATAAAGGTTATGCTTTCATTGGCATTTTGTTGCAACTTTAATTAAACATATATTCATTTTCTACATTTATATGGTTGTCTGTGAGCAAAAATGACTTGATAAACTGGACTTGAATGTATGCAGATAATAAGATTCTCAGTTAAAGCCCAAAAAACATGATTTGCATGTTTGCAAATGAACTGCATGTTAGAGTCCAGCGGCTCATAATCCAACAGCTTCATATGTGGACGCATCAAACAGACTGTGGACTTTCATGTGAAGAATGTTATAAGAAAATTATTAAAGATTTATTTCCAAAACCTGTAGAAAACAAAGCTAATGTGTGTCTCTAACAGGCCGCTGTCTTTGGGAATTATGACTCGACAAAAGCAGAATTTGCTGTGGCTGATGATCATCTGTTGTGCTCCGTGCCATATAAGTATGTGTAACGAATCAGTCCACTGAAGGTGAGCGTAGTGAGAACCCAAGTGCAGTTTTATTCAAACAAGGTGAAATCCAAAATCCAAACATAATCCAAACTAGATACACAGACTTGACTTGATTTGACTAGGCATGAAACAGACTCGACGTGGCATGAACAGACTAGACTCACCGACAGCAGGTTACAACATCAAAGCTAGACAAAGTACAAAGACAACATGAGGGCTATTTATATCAAGCAATGAGGGTCACATGACAAAGACAAACCAATGGGGAACAAGGCACATGACTAAAGCAACCAATGAGAACATAACACAGACAAGGGAATCACATGACCAAAAAGTCCAGGAGGGTGGTGGAGTGGAGGCGGAACTGGGGGAAGGACGGAGGGCCAGGCCCATGTAGGTGAACAGGGCCTGGAGTGTGGAGCAAAGGCAGGCAGTGGGACTGTGGAGCAGGAGACCACCAGGTCAGACCCAGAGGTGCTTGGAGCTGTGGCGGAGCAGGGAGCCATGGCGGAGCAGGCAGAGCGGGGAGCCATGGCGGAGCAGAGACATGAACAGACCACTTGACTGTGACAGAACACGCAGAGAGTTCTTGAATGGCCTCCTTGGCCGTGAAAGGACAGACAGTGAGTTCATGAACGGCCTCCATGGCCATAACAGGACAAGCAAAGAGTTTGTGAGTGGCCTCCATGGCTGTGACAGGGCAGACAGCGAGTTCATGAACGGCCTCCATGGCTGTAACAGGGCAGACAGTGAGTTTGTGAACGGCCTCCGTGGCCGTGA